TGTCTTGTCTTGTCTTGTCTTGTCTTGTCTTGTCTTGTCTTGTCTTATCTTATCTTATCTTATCTTATCTTATCTTATCTTATTCATTCATTGATTTATAATGCTTAACAACCAACTAAGGTGACCAAAGTACTTCCCAGCAAAAATCACATCACAAGAAACAAAAACATAAAAACAAGAGAAAAAACTGCCACTATGCTACATGGTACTTAAAAGCCTGTCTAAAGAAATAAGTCTTGAGCTTAGAATTGGCTGTTTGGATTTAAAAAAAAACAGCCAATTCTGGAAGAGTAGTTGAAACAAAATGCCACTGTTGCTGTCTGAGTGTTTTTCTGCATAAACAAACAGGCCCATGAATCTTTGGCCAATCACACAATGATCGATGCATTCACCTGTGAAAGAAGTTTGTCCCAAGTCTTGTGTCAAGAAGGAGCGTGAGAAGCTGCTCAGCAAACAAAATGATGCAATTTTTGTCACGCAACTATGTCAATGACAGCCAGATTTGTGGCTGGAGTTTGTGGGGCCCTGAAAAAAAGATTGTTGGYTTCTCTGTCATACAGAGGATTTCTGAAACAATGACATAGCAGTCTTTTCACAACATCAGTGATGAAGCACTTTTTACCAGTTTTTCTATGACCGGATAGATTTGTACAATCATGCCAGAAAACCAAGACGATGATTAGCAGAGTCTACAAAATAAAAATTCTACAGACGTTTCGCTCAAAATTTTCTTTTACATTTTGCTTCCTTGTCCTCTCACACTCATTGATGCATTTGACCGTGATGACAAACCCGTCGAGTGATCAAATGAATTGCAAATACCTGGCCCATGGGGACATCTTTTCTGCCAGCCYTCGACTCAGACAGAACCCTGCTCCTCCGGTGGCGAACCAGAACTGCACAGTCCTCTGAAAAACAACACACACAAATTACTGTAGGTATAATGAACAAAAACACACAACTCAAGCAACTGCTTGTCTGAAATTGGATTCAACTGGATACAAAAACAGATTTATTTGTACAAAAATAGAACTGTGGAGTTAGAAAATGAACCAAARTGAAGTTTAAAATGATGTGCTGGTTGTTAGCTGTTGTTTGTTTGTAATTCAGTTTGGCACAGCAGAAAGTGACAGATCTAAAACTGTCATTCAAGCAAAAACATGTTTTTTTATTCAAACCTTGAAGCTATGAGGTGTTAGTTCCACAAAAAAAGAAAGAACATATTTTTATCTTTCAATTTGTCCGTTTTAAACATCCTGTCAGGATCTATTTAACATTTTTAAGGTATGGAAATTGTTTTTAAGATTATTTTTCTCCCCAAACACGCAACAGCTTTTGAAAGGAGACACATCATCTTCACATAGAAACATCTATATGGATACACAGATACATAAAACTACTCAAATACACATTAAAGTACTCCAAATACTGAGTAAACCTGTACTTTTCCACATGCAGCTAATACCTCTGATGGAAGTGAAACAAAATGTAGAAGGAATCGGGCGTGTGTGAAGTGTTTACAGCTTCTCTTCACTGTTCATTTTGTTCAAAAGAGCCTCATTATGAATCACATGTCTCTGTCTGCTATTTCTGTCCCCTTTCTCAGGCGGGTGACGTGTCATTTTTATCAACTGTTTGAAGTTTACAAGTGCAAATGGGACGATGTCCTCGTGTGTTCGACAGATGAAAAGTTTAACAAACAGCCCGAGATATAATTACAGATCCAACATTGTTCATTTGTTTTCCTTTTGTCTTTAATTATTATTTTAACTATGAGTTTTTTGCCTGTCAAGTTCTCTTTTTTCTTTTAATTTTATTAGTTGTTTTCTTACATTTTTTGTTACATTTAATTGTATTCAAAAGCCTTTCTCCTTTTATTATTTCCTTCCTATTTGTTTCATATCTTTATTACCTTTTTTAATTAAAGGCCTAGCATTCCTGAATAAATACATAATCTCCACTGCTTTTACCAGAATTTTAGAGAGGTGTGGCTGCTTTAGAGGACCGCAAAAATAAGTTTATGTACAATATCATGCAACACTGTGAGATGTGTGTTGCAAATAACGCAACTTCTACCACTTACAATTCCTAGCTTAAAAACAGGGGTGTCCCAATACCAGCTTCTTTCAACCTGAGTACAAGGATGAGTACTTCAATTTGGATATTTGCTGATATGAAATCCTTTGCTAACAGACAAATAGAGCTGACTCCGAGAGTTAAAGCTAAACTTTAAAAAAAGTCTTGCTAAATAAGTAGCAGTTCGATTGTGTTTTAAACAGTGCCAGTCCAAATGCTAAGCGTGCCGTCCAGTTGGGGTGGGTCACAAATGGGGGATGAAAAAATATATATTTTAAAACATTTTTATTTGATTTAGTCTGTACAATAACAATTTTCACTCAAATTTATGAAAGTAACTTGTTCTGTGTGTTTCTCAGCTTCTTTGTTACTACATGAGGTGTTAGATGGTACAGATTATATTTTGTGATAAAGGTTTCATATGATGTAGCCAAGACTAACTATTGGTGCTTTGTGTGTAAATAGACAACAAAATAAGGATAATGGAAGTTTCAGTTATGATCTCAAAGTTCATTTTAAAGTCTGTTTTTCGGTGTTTTGCCTTCTTAAAATACTGATTTTATGTTTTCTCAATCCCAAGAATTTAATAAAATGTTCTTAAAATGACTGGAAAATGCATAGTTTTGAGTAGACCTTTTACAAAATTTTCTGTGGGGTATACCCCTGGACCCCTCTAGAACTGTTTCAGTCCACAGCTGCTTCTTAACAGGTTGCTGTCAGCAGATGTTGTCAGGTATGAGGTAGACTTCTGGTATTTTGTTTCAAATTAGTTACATTGTTAACTATTATAACTGGACAACCTGGTTTTTAAAGACAAAAATGTTTAATTTGCTATGTGAATGTATGTAAATTGGCAGCGAGAGTAACAAAAATTGCAAAAGGGATGCCACCTAAATCTTGCATGGGGCTAAATTGGCTTGGGCCGGCCTTGATTTTAAATGACTTTCACCAATGTCCAYTGCAAATTTTAGTTTAGAATCTGTTTGACTGAGTTTCAGAAATTTTTGTGTTTCTCAGCTCATTTGTCCATCATGAATTGATTTGGTGACAAAAGTGAAGCAGTTGTATTTGCAGTGGTGGACACTAGGCCCCTAAAGTGCTATAGTGCTAATTGCGGACCTAAATTTCTGGTTTGCACATTAGGGCATTTGCAAAATTGTTTTGAACTGTGTGCAGATTTGCACTTTGTAAATGTAAAAATTCAGTAGTGCTAAATGAATTATTACATAAGTATTTATCATCATCATTCTCTTTAACAGCGGAGGGAGAAAGCCGCCTCAAATCAATACAATGCCTGACCATTGTATTTGACCTTTGTGTTTATTTATGTGGCAGGAAGCAGGTGGAGCTATACATCACTGGGTGACACTCCCAGTCCCAGCACTTCTCCTACAGCGTGTCTTTTGGAGTTCTGCTAGGTTCGGCTTTGGCCTAATGTGTCTTCAGGTTCCAACTGTGCAGAACGTCGTTCAGCCGCACAGTTTTTTATCTGCTCTCCGATGGTTCTGGGTTGAAGCGAGTACAGCATGCTTTTGATTTTGAGTCTCTGACTGACAATAATATACAAGAGTGGTTCATGTTATCACAGGAATTTACTCTGGTGAACTCTGGGTCAATTTAGCACTTTATAATTAACTTMTGCTAAGTTTTATTGAACATAAGCACTTTAGAACTTGTGCAACTAAACTTTGGATTAGTGCTGCCCACTACTGTGTAGATTTATAGTCAGTGAATATTTCCTGAAAGTTTAATTGAAAATCCAGTTTTAAAGTCATTACACTGACATCTTGTATTGCGGAAAACAGACTTTAAAATACTTCTGTTMGTTTATAAATTACTGAATGGCTTTTCAACAAAATACATTAAAGATTTCTTGTTGTTGTATCAACCTTCCAGGTCCTCTGCTTCAAGCCTGCTTTGCAACATTCAGTTTTCATGCTCCACTAATTTGGAACAAAAAACTCCCAGAAAACTCTACGAATGCTGAAACAAATGAGGTCCTTTTAAGTTAATGTTAAAAAACCCATTTGTTTAGAGTTGCGTTTGACTGATCTGTTTAAAATATGAGCTAAAACATCATTAATTTAAGTCTGTGGTCCAACTTTTCCTTTCATTCCTTTATTATGTCAGTGAAAACTCACTTACTCCTCTGGCTTAAACTTGCTCTATGCAGAGGTTTTTCATAAACACCATAGTGTGTCACAGTGTTGATATAATATGGTTTCTGCTTTTTTTCCTCATTTTCCCTTGTGTGGTTTTTAGTTTTTCTGTTTGTCTAAAGGTAGTGCAACTGTGTTTGCTGCATGACCTGTCTTAACTACCCCCTCCCCCTTCCCTGAATGTACAGCACCTTGTGAATTTATTTCTGTGAAAGGCGCTATATAAATAAAACTTTACTTACTTACTTACTAATGTACTTATTTCTTATGTTTTCATCATGTAAAACACTTTGAATTCCCTTGTTACTGAAATGTGCTGCACAAATACACTTGCCTAAAATCTATTCAGTGGTTTAGAAGACATTTTGCTAAAAGACAGACAGACATGGGCAAAAACATTATTCTCTACTTTCACATTTTGGAAATAACTGTTATTCTTTCCTTTCTGCCATTTTTACAATTTCTCTTTCTTTTAATCGATTAAAGGCACAGTGTGTAGGATTTGTTGTTTTCAGTGACATCTAGTGGTTGAGTGGTTGAATCATCCTCCCTGGTTCGTCCATACCCCCACCCCCCGCTTCCAAATGCAAAGGAGTTGCTACGGTGTCTCTCAGGTGTCAAAAACCTTTGATAATTCCAACCGCGATGTCTACCAGCAGCTTCAGGGCTAGTGATGTTTCAAGTGGTAAGATTATGAGCTTTAATAAGTAAAATTATCCCAGCTACAATGACAGACAACAAATATTACATTTATAGTATTACAACTAAAACTGTTTTTGACACCGCCACCACAGTTTGTCCTTCATGAGCCTTCGTAGACAAGATGGCGGCCTCCTGTAGTGGCAACCCACGACCATGGAGATATAAACAGCTTTTTATAAGGTAAAAATAATAAAACAAGGTCTTTGTCTGCAATGATTTGACATGTTTTTTTTTTATTATTGTCATTAGTGATTATCTCAATTTCAGCTAAAAGAATTGACAAAATCCTACACACTGTGCCTTTAAGTTTATTTCAAACATTTTTTGATGTTTTCCTAAAACAGTCTGCTTCCTCAGAATTTCTTTGATCAAATTTAGTCTGTTTTTATCTCTCTCTTCTCACATTGTTTTCTTCTCTTTAACTTCCTTTCATACTCCCCTGCAAATTTTCTTCCCTTTTTTTCCAACCCATTTCTTTCTGCTCCTTTGCTTTTGATCAGCCCTCTTCTCATTTTTCTAGCTGCTTCATATTACAGCCAGGAAATCAGAAAAGACAGGCAGCTTTAGATGTAAGAAAAAAAGACAGAGAGGTCTGACATTTGTTTTGGATTTTTTTTTTTCCTGAGGAAGAAAATTTTTCAAAAAGAGCAAAAGGAGGAAGGGAGGGGGAGGAGCAGAAGGGTATCAGGAAGCAAGGACTAATAAAGATCTATTTTCATTATAAATGGATGCAATCAAAGCAGAGAATGTGACRTGAAAGAGATGGAAGGGAGCAATTTCAAGAAATGAAGTGGAGATTGAAAAGCGCAGAGAGCTTACTGGGATCACAATGCACTTAAACACAGTGCAATGCTGTCAGCTCATGCACAAACACAGACGTGCGAACAGATCCATGTTTGTGCCACCCGCTGCACATGTGCACCTGTTGGTGTATTCAAAAAGCTTTTAACCTCATTGTCTGTGTGCACGCCTGCTTCGTGTGCATTCAAACAAGACACTAATCACTCAGAAACACTCCCATGGTGAACAAACACAATACAGCCACAGATCCCAAATACCTCCATTCACTCATTCACCCACAAACACACCTGTTTACAGCCTCCTCCATCATTACTGCAGGCCTGATGAGGGAACAAACACAAATGATGGAATCTGCAATGTTCAAAAGGCCTCAGCTTTGTTTGATTGCTACTTAAAGTGTATCTTACCCCGCTGTGAAAAGATAACTCCGCCCCAAGGCCAAAWTTGAAAAAATGCATTAAAGGGGGTAGGGGAGGGGGTGTGGGTTGGGAAGCGGGGTTAGAGAGCGGAGATGTGGCCAGGACGAGAGAACGTGACAGCTAGCATTAGCATAACTGATGCTACATGGAGAGTGACCACAGCGACGCAGATAGTTACATCTCTAAACGGTCTGAGGTGGAGGATTTTTCACCCCCCTCCTCACCAGAGGCAGAGAGAGACTTGATTAAGTCAGCTCAGTCTGGGACTGACTCATGTTGGCTCCGTGGATCAGGACATGAAGCTCTTTTACCGCAGCCTCGGCTGAGCTCTGTCCGCCTCACACCACACCAGCCCTGGACAAAGGAGGTGGAGTGCTCCTCGACAGCCTGACAAAAAAATAAAAGCATACAGCTGCAGGCTGCTCAAAAGATCACTAGTTTAAATCAGGAATAAAAGTGGTGGGTCGTGTTTGACTGAAGTTTGGTCCGGTTCAGGCTGCAGCTGCCTCGCTGCGCCGCACTCTTTCTGCCTTTTTTTGAAGGTCAACAKACGGTCATGCTAAGCTTGCTAACTGTTCCACCCTCTGACTGCTGCAGGGGCGTGTCTTAGAGAGAGGCTTTTATACCAGAACACAGCCGCTGTGACGAAACCRYGGARAAGACAYGTCAYCGTGGAGAGCYGTTAACCAATATSCAAATTAGCCTGCAGTACCACTGCTCTACCCATATGAGCAGCAAAAATRCGTTTTYAGACCAAATATTACAGATTTGAACAAATACRCACAAAAACATCAAAATTAGCACAGAAACAGTACTATATAACATTTTAGACACATTCTAGACAGTTTATCAGCTAAAAAAAGTTAATTTTGGGGTAAGTTACTCTTTAACGGGGTAAATCTGATCCTTTAAAAGTGAAGGTTTGAGGAAATTTTCTATTAATGTTTTGCATGTTGTAAGGCAACATTTTGGAAGCCAAAATAATGTGCAGAACAGAAAGCCAGGTTGAATTCTCTGTAAAAAGATTTATTCTAACCAATTACATCTCACCCAGTGCTTGGCCCAGAGACTTACGCTATTGYCAAAAGTATTTGCTCACCTGCCTTGACTCATATGAGCTTTAGTGACATCATTCCTAATCTATAAAGTTCAGTATGACGTTAGTCCACCCTTTGCAGCTAGAACATCTTCAACTCTTCTGAAGGCCGTCYACAAGGTGTAGGAGTGTTTATGGGGATTTTTGACCATACTTCCAGAAGCACATTTGTGAGGTCACATACTAATGTTGGACATAAGGCCTGGCTCTCAGGCTCTGCTCTAATTCATCCCAAATGTTTTCTATCAGGTTGAGGTCAGGACTCTGTGCAGGGCAGTCAACTTCATCCACACCAGACTCTGGCATCCATGTCTTTATGGACCATTTAGATTGGCGAGCAAAAACATTTGGCAACATAGTGTACTTTTGTATGCCAAGAGGGAGCAAACGATTTTGCCTGTGCCATAAGAGGATGGATGACATGAAGCAGAGAACAAAATAATGCATGCAGCTACACTAATCCTAATCTGAGGTTGGACTTGTTTGAAGACGACAGACATGCACTGTGCACTGCAAAAACTGTCCATTTTACCAAGTTTTAAAATCTTATATTCAACCAAAAAAGTCTTTTTGATCTTGTTTTCAGACTGGTTTACTAAACAAGAACTGATTGTGTAAGAATAATAATCTTGTTTTCAGAACGTGTAAGATTATTTGTCTTGTTAGTCTGAAAATTTGACTCAAATTAAGTCAAAGATTTCTGCCAATGGAGTAAGAAATTTTTACTTGGTAAGATTCTTGAAATATTTGATTTGACTCAATTTTTTTCTTATTTCAAGAATCTTACCAAGTAAAATTTTCTTCCTAAATTGGCAGAAATTTTTGACTTACAGTAATTTGAATTAAATTTTCAGGCTAACAAGACAAATAATCTTACACATTCTGAAAACAAGATTATTATTCTTACACAATCAGATCTTGTTTAGTAAATCAGTCTCAAAACAAGATCAAAAAGACTTTTTGGCTGGATATAAGATTTTAAAACTTGGCAAGATGGATCTTTGCCCCATGTGAACCAGCCATTACCTCATCAGTCCAATCTGTTTTATCAAACTGAGGCGGTTCAAAAAGCTACCTACAACAGGTAAGATGTTTTTTGTTCATAACCTTTCACAAAACCTCATCTGAATTATTTGTTTTACTCTCCTGCAGTGCAGAAAGACCAGAAAATCCTTGAAAATAAAAGTGAAGCATTGCAGAAAAGAAGGGGGAAAGTAGAAAACACAACCACAGACTTTTAAAAAGTTGGAGGAATGTTTGTGTGTAGATGAAAAAAAAGTTTCAAGTGAAGAAGACCATGTTCACCTTCCCTTTTCCTGTTTAAGCTGCATTAATCAAGAATAAAAATTCTTCTATTTTGAAGATAATTATTTCTGACGTGTTAACTTGACTACATTCTTTCATAATATATGTCACGCTTTAGAACATACAAAGAACCAGCAGAGGATTAAATTAAACAATCTGAAAGGTACCGTTGCATTTCCCTCCAGCAGCTCGTGAGCAGTGATGGGTTTGTCCAGACTGGCTTTGCCCACGTAGATGTCACCATCCTGGGGAAATGCCGAGAGCAGAGAGAGCAGAGCCTCCGGGTTCATGTAGTTATCATCATCTACATGACAAAACCACCTGAGCAGCAACACAGGGAAGAAAATAATTTTTTAAACACTTGTAATTTTATCACTTCACATCCCCTTTCATTTTCTTTTTTTATATTTGAAATATGGCACATCACTGAGTATTACACTGAATCTTCAATTTAATTCAATTCAATGGCTGCCAACAAAGAAGGAAAAAAATACTGGCTTAGATCAGGACTGAATGAAGTTAATGTAAAAAAAAAAGCCTTTTTTATCATTTGCGCATCTAATTTCAGTTACTTAACATTCATAGAAATATTTAGAATAGCTAAATACTGTATATTATTTATGACAAGTTTGTCTCATATTCAATTTCAATAGAGGTAAAACAAAAACTCAAATCTACATGAAGAATCTTCTGACTACAAC